GCCGACTCGGTCTGTCTGGTAGGCTATCCCCAGAATATTGGTATCAATATGTGCTTTAGTACTAGGCAGATGAAATTGTGAGCATTATTATGAGTGTAGAAACGTATTATTGTATTAAATGAAGGATGAGAATATACTATATCAGTCTGTCTATGTACTTAAATTATTATTTGACTTCTTGACAAGGACATTGCTATATTGATCCAAACTATGATATTCATTGCTTTGGATAAAAATCGTATTGTTTCTGAATATTAACTATTGAATTTTATTACTGATTTCGTGACCTTACCGATTGTAAACTGTCGTCTGCACTTCTTTAGCATTTGCTTTACTATCAAAATGGTTTTTAAAAATAAATCTTAATAATTTCACGAATGTTTCCGTATTATGATCTACCTATTTTACATCGTAATACGATGATGATCTACAATACTTGTATGGCGCCATTTATCTGTTTCAAACATTATAAAGGCTACCGCTGCTTCAATAGTCATGGAATACACATCTGCTTGACAAAAATGGGTTATGATTTAGACTAAATATTCGCCTACGTGTTTGTTATATATTGTCTTTTTATTGTTAGTGTGATTACGCTCGACCTATTATTAAGTCAAGATGCATCAGCATAATAAGACGTTGAATATTTTTCAATTAACCTTACCAACTTTGTCTATAATTCGCAATACTCTATGTGTAATGTCTTTAATTAATTGGTACTACATGTACATCTGAAGTGTGATAAAACCACTATATATATATATATATATATATATATACCCAGTGGCGTATATACGCAGGATTTTTTCAAGGGGGGGGGGGGTTAACATTTTGAAATCGGGCCAAAAATTTCGCAACGACTCAGCTAGCCGCTGAATAAGCGATCGACATTCCGTTCCGTTGGGGGGGGGGGGGGGTTAGGTCATCTTTTTAGGTCATCTATAAGGATTTTTTTTTTTTTTTTTTTTTATTATTAAAAAAAAAAAAGGAAAACAAAATCAAAAGGGGGGGGGGGGGTTTCCCGAAAAACATACACATAAAAAAACTCAATGGAGGGGGGGGGGGTAATCCCCCCCTCCCCCTTGCGTACGCGCCTGTATATACCCTCTAACATTAATGAGTAACAAACGACACTTCTTCTACACTCTTGCAGACTTTCTTCCGTTCGGGTACAATTGCTTATTTGTATGGCAATTTTATGGGGCCTATACCATACAAGCTTCCAAATAATCTTATGTACTTTAACTTGGATACGTTGTGTTTATTTTTGTAAATATCTGACGTTTGTTTAACAATGTATGTATTTATTATTAACATGTGATAAGAACTCACCCAGGTGATGTATCTTATGACCATTGCGAATGTCATGTTTTATAAAGTGGAAAATTAATCAATCTGAAACAGACTGATACTGAATTTACACTAGAACCATAATTGATTACCTAAATTTTTGCCCTGTTGTTGATGCGTGCCCCCAAAATAGAAATTATCAATAATAGCGCTCAAAGTTCTCGATATTGAAACCATTTATATTAATGATCTGTTAGTGATCTGTTAATGATTAATTGATAACTCATCGAAACCAGCAATCCTATCATAATCATTACAAAGTCTTATCAAAACTCTGAAATATATCAAAACAAACACAATGGCGTGATTGATTGGTGACTTCCGTAATATATATTTTAATGTGTTTATTTGTTTTGTTTTCTATTTAATTTGTACTAACAGACGACGGATCAGAGAAATATGTTTGTTTTTTCTTTCGAAGTAAATGGTCGAAACAGGAAAAAAAAACTATCGGGGCAAGTTTCCCAATTCAAATGGCATGAAAGGTGGGAAGAGAGAGAGAGAGAGAGAGGGAGAGAGAGAGAGAGAGAGAGAGAAAGAGAGAGAGAGGGGGAGGGGAACAAAATGGAGATATATAGTGGGAGAGTTGAGAAAGTACATAATTCTCTTCTTTTTTCCTGTTTGGAAGCATACTATGGGGTCTACTAGCTACACAACTTATCCGTTATTTTCTTTCACCTAGTAATTACAGTCCCGCCCCTCCTCTTTAATGACTGGATACTTTCGAAACCATTACGTATGTATTGCTATGAAATAGGGTTTGGATATACACGTATATAAGTTTTATTCTATGACTTTTAACGGGTTTAATGCCTATTTAATTAACGGGTTTAAAGCCACATAGTAGTCGGTGTCCATGAATGTGTATTGCATAATAAGTCTTTCTCTCATTGGATCTTGGAACCAAAATCTGCTTGATTGGACCACAAGAACCAACTCAAGAAGTATACGTTTATAGTAGACATTCATTGAAAATCACAAATTATGGCCAATAATGTATCCCTAGAAACCAGAAAGTTACAGATGACAATCGTACAAATTTTAGGTCAATTGCGTATCGGATAGTAAAACAAAATCAACGCAAATAAGATCACCTCTCGGGATATGTGATAACTGATATACTTCTTCTTGTCCTTCCTTCGTTGGTTTTGGAGATAAGCGGTATTACCGCTGCAAGGGTCTGGTCGGGTCACTGAAACTGGTAGTGAGAGTATGTGATAGGTGAAGGGAGATCTAGAGCGTCAGAAAGCTTTAGGGAGTGCAGTGCAGGTAGGACGATTACCCCTATATGGACAATAACCTCCTACACCCTCTGAGGACAATTACCCCCTAAAAAAATCTGCATTTTATTAAAACCAATTTATTATCAGCGAGGACTTCCCCTTTTATAAACAGGAGGTCCTCTGGAAGAAAGAAAAAAATCTGTCGCTCGGCATAAGTCAGCTCTATACGCTATATGTGACAGGGCCTTAACATGAACATGAAGGAACATAGTTCAATAGAAAATCAATCAAAATTAGCATGTCCAAAGATCTATCTATTGTACACACACTCGTGAATGCCGCAATCCAATCTTTTTTTTTTTGGGGGGGGGGGTACTGTAATGTTAAATGCAGATGTTAACATATTTGCCAGATAGGAAAAACAAGAAACCTTTGAACCCCGGAGTTGGTTTAAACGGATATTTAGATCCAATGTAAGTCCAGGTAAGTCCAGATTTTAGTTCATTACATCGATTCTCATTTCTGACTAAGTCATGTGGTAAGTTTTTGTTCAATTTCTGTTCAACGTAAATGCCAATAAAAGTATACTAATCGCAGAACCGGTTCGTGCAAACAAGTAAAGGTCGAGCGTTTTTAATATATTGATTTCATATAATGTTGATTTCGTGAATTAAACCTTTACCACTTTTTATGCCACTTTAGCTCTTATGCATGTATTTATCATTATAACTGACACCTTTACTGTAATTGTCTCCGCCCCCCCCCCCACTCAATGTTATTTAAGGTACGCATATGCATGTTCCCTCCTTTTGAAAACACCCCCCTAAGTCCGGTGTGTAAATTAAAATACGGGCCGGATTTTTGTGTACTATAAGAGCCGTGTGCTGATATTATGTAAGTCTTGACAATAATAGAAGACAGTTCTAGACATGGCTCATAACATTGAATCATGACGCAGTTTGGTTCTAATAAAGACACCTGTAAACATTAACCTCCAAGCCTCCGTATCATGACTTCTACAGTAGAACCATTACCAAAATATAATAAGCCGGACTTTGGTGCGTAAAAAGTACCCCTTTACCGGACATTTTGGTAACACGCATGGTATCCCTTCGTTCACGTATATAGTGGGGGGGGGGGGGGGGGGGCGGGAATTGTCTATGATAATTTTTTTATTTTTAAAGGAAATTGATTTGTAAACATATACCAGTGCATAAAAATAAATTTCTTTATGGTTACTAATTTCAAATTTCAATATCAGTTTCAAACTTTCAACGGGCAGGACAGCGTCCTCATGCTACTACTGGACACTGTGATGGATCTCGGGGTCATGGGTGCTGGGGGTGGGGGTAGGGCCGGTAGTGAGAGAACTTTTGTAATCGTTATATATTTTTCGGTAACATGACAATTACATTTACTTTTCTACTATATTTCCAGAACCTTATCCACCCCCGTGTGAAGAAATATATTCCAAGATTTCCAATGACCCCCCTCCCCGTTTTGAAGATCGTGACAAAATGCACTAATCAAATCAGTGGTTATATGTCAAGTGGCAGCCTAGTTCCAAATTGGATGGCTAGACGGACAACGTCCTTAAGTCTTAGAAGATTTATGAAATATTGCTTGTAAAGTGTGACGTGTCTTGTGAGCTCCTTTCCAATTTGCTCTGTGCGTAAAATTTCATAAAACTTTCAAAATTGATGACGTAATAGATTTGTTTCCAAACAGGGTTTGAATAGAAACTATTTGCAATAATAGGGTGCATGTTTGATTAAAGATCTCTTGAGGGAATATGAACATTTCTGATTTGATGCCAAACGGGAGGGAACCTCGCAAAATACGTCACAGAGTTGTCAATTTGTGTTTGAATGATCACAACTTTAAAAAATGCATATAACTTTGTCTTTTTAAATCGGAATTTGCTCAAACTTTAACTGTCACGTTCCTCTTTGTTTTTTTTGCTTCTAGTAAAACCAACTTAAAAGCAGGGTGGACTTCCCCTTTAACTCTTTATATGCCACACAAATAAGTTCCCTGCTCCATATCATGGGAGAGATAAGGCTTCACATTTATTTGATTGTGCAAGATTAATCTATACTGGTGGTAAAAGGATAATTGTCATAGAGGTAATTACGACCAGAAATAGGTAATTTTGCAAAGCAAAAGAGTTGCACGAAGCAATCCCTCAAAAAATTGGTACCTATTGATTTGTGCAAAATTGAATGTGTTACAAGCGAGCAACTGTTCAGAGAGGCGAAGAAAGTACCTGAAGTGTTCAATGTATACTCTTTATTAATTCATTTCATTTTACTCAGATAGCTTCTTGAATCTGAACTACAACTACAAGGCAAAGTCGGACAGAATAAAGTGGTAACAAATATAACAGTGTGCAGTTCTCGAGTATTTCACATTGGCCCAGAATCCAGTCAGGATGGCTTTTGACATCTGTGTGGTGGGAGCTGGGATGGTGGGGTCAGCAGCAGCCAAGTGGCTCTCATTGGATCATGGAAGCAAAGTCTGCTTGATTGGACCACAAGAACCAACTGAAGAAGTAAGTTTAAAGTAGACATTCATTGAAAATCACTAACATGGCCAATAATGTATCGATCACTAGAAACCAGGAAGCTTACAGATGACAATCGTACCAATTTTAGGTCAATTGCGTATCGGATAATTAAAAAAAATAACGGAAATACAATTACCTCTCAGAATATGTGATAACTAATATACTTCTTCTTGTCCTTCCTTCGTTGGTCTTGGAGATCAGCGGTTCTACCACTGCAAGGGTCTGGTCGGGTCACTGAAACTGGTAGTGAGAGTATAGTGATAGGTGAAGGAAGATCTAGAGCGTCAGAAAGCGTTAGGTAGTGCAGTAGGAGGCACGACCGGTAGGCTATATGTGACAAGGTTTTTCCGCCAAAGAAAATTTCAAAAGATCAAAAGATGTTAGATTTTGAGAGAGATAAGAAGATCGAGGCGCGTCCGGTCTCAGTTATAATCATCTACGAGCTCTTTGCAAGAAAATTTAGAGATGTCTTGATGAGGTCACATCAGGGACCAATCCTGCCTATAAGCAGACTACGTCCTATAACAGTTACTAATGAACATATATTTTCACTGCTATTATTTCTCAAATGTAAGAGTTTGATTAATTTCGAAATAGCCATATTGAAGCTACAACTGATACCACTGATTCCTTTATATATATATATCTTTTTAAGCTGCATTTTTCTACACAATATAAAATCATGTCAGAAATTCATGACCGAGGGAACAAATCAAACAGTTACTATATGACGCCGATGAAGTAAGATAAATAAGGAAGGAGGAGACGGGGGAAAAAAGGGGCTGAAATTGTGTGCATTGACATGGGACATCGTCTACTTATAATATTAAGTGGGACCTTATAGTGACAAATTTCAGCAGTGTTCGGAGAGCTCTTCAAGTGCGAAGGTGCATGGTGCTGTATTATGCCATTTTTAAATTGACAATAATCGTTACTTAAACTGTTTCCAAGCGGGGAATTTTGATAACTTTGTTCGATCTAACCTTTCCTTATGCAATGATACATATTAATTAGATATTAAAATCAATGGACCTCTGTTTAAAATTCATGGAGGCCATACGGCTTTGAGTAGCTGGTTATAAATCGATAGGAAACATGAAATATAATATATTTAAATTTAAAAAAATAAAAAAATTGGTAGGGTTCTATTCTTCTATCATAGTTGGACTGATACATACAAAATACATAATTTAATTCTATTCTTGTGATTCTGTTTAATATGGCAATTATTTATTTTTTAGAAAAGTTATATATTTTTCTGTTAATTAGCAAATTTTTATTAGCTATTAGCAATTTCATCTTACGTTTTGCTCCATTGCTCGTATGCAGGAGTACAGAAAAGGAGAGCGGCAAATATTTGGATGCCATTATGATGAGGGTCGTATTACCAGAGAGCTAGACTGGGATTATGCGTGGGGACTCTTGGCTCAGCGGTCTATAAAAAGATACAGAGACATCGAGAAAGAGAGCGGTGAGGATGTGAAATTGTATGTCCATATGACGAACAAATCAATGTGAACAAAGCCTGCATATTTTTTAACCAAAATGATATGTCAGGCCTCACAAAAATATCTTTGAGCTACGTTTTGTTGTTGAAATTTTGAAAAAATGCGGCTTATATAGTCTTAGAGTTGGAGTTATGTAAACTTTCCCAGCAATCGGTTTTCTTCTTAGCGATTGTAACTAAAGATTTGAGATGCATTAGTTAGTGATACTAGGTAATGATACAATTAAAAGGACGTACATTTGAAAATATTCCATTCATACCTATAACAAAATATTAGCAAGAATAAAACAAACTTTTATATGCTCATATATTTCAAATAGAATATTATACTTAATTTATATTGCTTGCCAAATTGTTATAATTGTTAATTGTGAAAATGATGTTATTATAGTTGACTGGGACTAAAACACTTTGTGAAACAATCAAATAATTGTTAGGTAATATGTTTTCTTTGTAATTTGCACTCCTCATCAGTGTTCTTTTTATTCTACTTCATCATAGAACTCTATGGAAAATGAGCAAAGATAAAGCAAACAAATATATAAAATATCTCAGTAATTACACGATTTCCTTTATTCTCAAAATTCTGGAAAGGCAAATTGAAATTGTCATTGAAATTGTCCGGGGAAATGGTTTTAAAATAAATTCATATTTTTTTTCACAAACTTATGATTTAGATCATACGTAAACTTTCTTAGGTGCACATCTAAAAAAAAAATCTGTTTTTATCTCTTATTTATTAAGTTCATACTCTAACTTTTTGTTTTATCCTTTCTTTGTAGGAATTCATTTCTATAAGGAAGTTGGATGTGTCTTCATTGATAAGACTGTTTCCCAAGGCCTTGATGATTATCTCAAGACTGCAAGGAAGCTAGAAGCTTATTTTGAAACCTACGATGCATCAGAATTCCATTCCAGATATCCTTATCTGAAGATCGACCAAGAGTGCCGTTGCATCTGGACTCCAAAGAATGCCGGTCACATCAGTCCTCGGAAGTTGGTCGCTGCTCAGCAGAAGATAGCCAAGTCCCACGGCTGTGACATCATCAACGAGGTGGTTGTCCGTGTCGAGGAGGAATCAGGAGGAGGAGAAGGAGGAGGAGAGGAACTTGTCAGGGTCTCGACTGAAAATGGCAGAGAAGTGCTAGCTAGGCGAGTTCTCCTCTGCACAGGATCCTTCATTAATTATCATCACCTCCTACCAGAGCACAAGAAGATTGATCTAAACTTGACCAAGGCCTCGGTGGTGAGAGCAGAGGTCACGGAGGAAGATGCGTTGAAAATTGCGGACATGCCCACCATCTCGTTGGAAAATGAACGCTCCTACATCTTGCCTCCCATTCGTTATCCAAATGGTGAGCACTTAACACATTGCTTACCGGAAACAGGTGCTTCCAGTATTAAGACTTAAGGGGAATGAGAGAATAAAAAGGATAGGCTTAACCATAAAGATAGAACATGATATTTGCTAAGGGCAAAACAGAAGAGAACTCTATATACCTCCTGGTACAAAAAACACAGATACTATATGTAATATAATTGGCTTTTACTTACTAGCATAGCACTTGACATTTCCATCATTTGAAGAGAATTGTAATAGTACAGTGATATGTTGTAACTGAAAGGTGATCAATGTCATTGATGTGATTTCCAAAAATTGATTGCAAGAAAAAAATTCCACATTTGAATTTTAACTAATGCAGTATTTGGAGTAATTGTCCAATGATATTGAAAAATTGATAAATGAAGTCATTGGGGAAATACGTCTTTCAAGTTAAATTGACATCATCTCGATTGCATATTTTTTTAGTAACAGATGTAGTATTTGATTTTCCCTTGTTAAATGTAGGCCTACATACTCCTGCAGTAATTATATATCAAACAAATTCTGTGAATATTATGGACATGAGTGTAATGTGTTTAGATATCAAATAATAGTGACATTTGTTTTGTTTTTTTGGCAGGAAAGTACTACATCAAGATTGGTTTGATGCCCTCTGCCTCTGATGACAATGTTGGAGACCTTAGTGATGCTGCGCAGTGGTTTCACAGCAAAGGAAAGAAACACCATAATATCCAAGAAACTGTTGATGTCCTTCAAAGATTCATGCCAGGTAAAATTCCAGGATCTTTGAATTGACAAGTGATGTCAACAATCTGAATAGCTTGTTATTAATTCTAGTACAATGATTATCGAAGGAAGTGTTTAAATATTTCAAATGGAGGCCGGTTTTGAGGGAGGTTGGGGTGGACAAAATTGTCCTACTAATTCACCAGCGATTTTAACATTTTGCTCCCTGGGTTCACATATTTGTTAGCACTTTTGAATATGTGCTGACAAATATATTAAATTTTGAGCAGTTTTAAGATCGATGAATAGTTTCACAATTTTACTTTCTTGTTAAAGGAAACATCACCCCACAAGTGTATGCTCTTTCATTATATTTGGAGCAGAATACTCTTTAATTTGATATATAAATCGTCAAATTTGGCTCACGGAGTAGTGTTCCATGTCTCTTGAAATTAGTTAGCTTATTATCTATATGACCAAAGAAATATTTTCTGAAATATGTTTTCATGGGGGACATCCCATGAGACCAACAGTGTCAGTCATGTAAATCCTCCGAAAATATATTCAGTAGGCTAACGAGACCGATAGGCCTGTGTCATCTGTGTGGGTTAGCTAGCCTCATGAATCCTCTGATAAATTTTCAGAAGGCCTGCAAGACCGACATTGGACTCGTGGGATGATGTAGCCATTGTCAATCAAGTCATTGGAATTCAGGTCAGAGTAATGATTTTCTGTTTGTCAATTCTGTACAGACCTCAAGCCTATCTCACTGGTCACAGACTGCTGTATTGTAACCCTGACGCCAAACAGGCAGTTGGACTGTGACATGCTGACTGCTCACACTGGCGTCCTGGTCGGAATGAACGGCTGGGGAGCAAAGTCTAGTGATGAGATCGGTCACATGGGTGCTTCTATGATCACCAAAGGAGCGTGGGACTATGACCTGCCGGAGGAGAACTTCAAGATTCAGTTCAAGAAGGATGATCGTTAATAACTTAGAGAGTTCCGAAATCACAATGTATTAAAACCCTTGCAATTATACTGCCTATAAACAGTGACATATGAAATATTACTATGCAATAAAGAATGAATTATAAATATATACACACTGGAATATTCATTGAAGATTGTATAACTTGCAAATAAAAAATCAAATATTTTAAATTCCTGTATCTTTTTATATTCTAGTCTGAATACGAAATAACTTAGTAAATTAAAAATGTTTTGTATGACAGTATATATATTTCTTATACATTATGTACACATGTATCGATTATGTATTGCAATAACCATATTTTGTATGATAATGATATGATCGATAAAAACTTTGATCATGATAAAAAAAAAATGCAATGAATCACATATGGTATATGTGAATTGTTCAAAATTTCAAAATGCTGCAATTTTGTGAATGTATCATTATTTCTCCGCCTTGTATGAAATATGAATGTCTATGTATCAATCTTTTACATGTTACTAGTACTGTGGACATTCATCCAGTATTGATAGATGAACAGGACATGTAAATGGGCACCCTGTTTGTTTGTAAATGTATGAATTAGTGATACAAACACTCTCATAATACTGTAGAATTTCGGTTAACTGAAGTATTTACATGATCCATTCTTGGGTAATGTAATTTGTAAATCTATAATGTTTGTTTACTGTTTTCGATCCGGCTCAATGTGAACCTGATGATATTATCATTTAGGTTTTAGTTTATAGAATATATATGCATGTACACAACCATACCAGGTTGTTGGTTGTTTCACTAAGGAGGGAGCTAGAACTTAGGCGTTGACAATTCATATTAGTTTTGCTAAGGTAGTGGTGCTGGAACATATATATGTTTCAGATTTTATAAGTTGCTCAGCTAGTCTACTTCAATTTTGAATCAATTTTGATTAATCCTTATGTCAACAACAAACTCCCCATGCTGCATGTATAGCATGACAAAAGGCAACAGGAATATTCAACTCGATCTGGTCTAACATAATAAGTGAAGATGTACCATAATTTTATCTGGTTTCTATTTCAATAAGATCTTAAACAAACCATAATTAATTTGATATACATTAAATCATATCTGTACCTGATAGAATATTACTATATGCAAAGCTAGTCATGATCTTCCACCCAAAAAAGGAAAACTTATTACACTTTATATATAAGAATCTATGTAGAATTTGTGTAAGTTGTAACAGAGTACGATATGTGTATATGCAATCCCTATTTTTCATTAGATCCCCTCATTTTTCATCTCCAATTTAGTCTAATAAACCTTAGATATCTCATAGTCTGCATATTTTACTTCTTTCTTATCATTATTTGTTATCATCTAACACTAAAGATGCATGTAGTTATAACTATAAGTTCTTTCAAGTTTTTTTTTTTATGTATGTTACATAATGGTGAATGGTGTTTTTAAATGAAGTTACGTGAAATATGAAATAAAATAAACTGAAATGGATATTGAAATAAGGAACACCCTCCTTTCTTGCTTTGTTTTGTCTTTCATCTTGTTTTAATGTGTGTATTTAAGTACACTTGTATTCCAATTGCCTGGAACTTGTTATCAATAACAAAATACAATAAGCTATACTGGAATACATACATCTGATTGGCTACGCGAGCAGATTTGTGGCAGTCCTTATTAACATGTTGAGGATTGGGGGGCCAGTCTCTCGAAATCGTTATAAATTTGTGGAAAACCCAAAGAAACGCGTGTTAATTATACAATACACGTTTCGATAGGAAGTCCAAGAAGTTAGACTCATGACGGTTTCGAGAAACTGCCCCTGCACGGGGCGCGCGGGGCCCCAGAGGTCTAATCCAGGGATCAGACCGACTACTTATAAATTAAATGGGAAGACGATTTTTTACTTTTTTTTATTTGTCTCGTCGTGCTTACCGTGCTAACGCCGCGACAAAGCGATCTACTAAACGTTCGTATTCTATCAATGAAAAGGTGAAAAATAGATATTTAGATTACAGACTGCAGGCTTGAAGTACTCTTTATTAAAGGAAAATGTCGGGGAGTCGAAGGAGAAAGTATCGTGATGACGACGAAGGTAAGCAATTTGGAGATACGATGTTTTATAATCCAGTCATTGTCAATGCGTTTACCCCTGCACTGAAACCTACGTGTCCCATACATGCACAATCGTGTTGGCTTATTGAGCAACTATTACTCTGAAAAATCCCCAACAAGCGACGCGAAGATCGGGCGACAATTGGCTTGTAGCTTGGCAGTGATATGAGTCATGGTCTAATCGCTGGTCGAAGCTGCTAGCTGAAGGCAATGACTTGAGTGAGCAAGCTGCTGTTGTCGGTGTCGGTTGGCGGAACCCGTTTTTTCGCAGGGCCAACGCGCGGGGATCGGAAATCAGAAACGTCAGCGAAAATGCGGACGTTCCTTATTTTTGCAGACACATCTGTCCACGTTAACGAAAACGATCCTCGTTTGTGAGGGCGATCCATTGTCTCGGACTATTGCTCCTACTGCTAAATGGAAATGCGAAAGCAAATTTTAGACTTCAAATGGGGGCATTTTTTTCAAAAGAATTTTGGAGAATGGAGATATAATGTCGCAAAGGAAAAATTTGATGCAGATTGTCAGCACCTTGTTGCCATAGAGAAGCCATGGCGTGTGCGCCACAAGTTCTTGATTTTGCCTGACATAGTGCCTCAGGTATTTGATATTAAACATATGGGTCTAGCGCCACGGTCCACAACACTGAAAAAGGACTGAAAGAAGGTATCATTTAATTATGGTAACTACTCTGTGGACATTTTATGTAAAGTGACATCTCTAACAAGTCTAAGTCTAAAACCCCACTGTACTACTTGTAGCAAAGTGCTCCCTCTATATAGAAAACGATGCCTAAGGGGTGCCAGTTGTTCCATGATCCTCTTTTTCTTATGATTCACAGCTGAGTTGATGGGATAATCTCCTGTCTGTGACTATGCTAATCCCTCTAATCCCTCCTGGCCAAACTAGTACAGAGCAATACAATGAAGAAAAGAGAGGTTGACTTAGCTTAGCTAACGTGTGAAATATTACATTTCTTCTTGAGGTTTATAATTCAATTTGTTTTACTTACTGTCTATTACAAAAACGAGGTTTAATACAATGTGGGTTGAAGAGAGCCAGTATTTCAAGATTTAGAAATAATTTTTTTAGGCCTCTGCCCACCATAGTAATAAGGAGGTTAAGACATAAAAGTCAAAGGTCACTCATTTCACTTTTGAAGAAAATCAGAATAATAGATATAATAGAATGTATAGATATGAACAGGGGGGGGGGCCGGGGGGCCCGTGCCCCTCCCCCCTTGAGAAAAAAATCATGTAAATTCACGTGATTTTTACCTTTTTTGGGGGTTGGGCCCCCCCCCCTGGCGCTCAAGGGGGGGGTGCAAATTGAAATTTTTTTGAGGATCAAAAAAAAAAAAATGTGCTCACTACCCCCCCCCCCCCCCCCCCACTGAGCGAATTTTTGGGCGGCGCTTTTTTCAAATTTTCGGGAGCAAAAAAAAAAAAAAAATTGTGCTCTGTACTCCCCCCGAACCCCCCCCCCCCCCCCCCCCCCCCACTGAGCGACTTTTCGGCCGGCGCGATTTTCAAATTTTCGGGAGCAAAAAAAAAAAAAAGTTGGGCCCCCTCCCCTAAGAAATCCTGGATCCGCGCCTGGATATGAATGTGTAATGACAGATCAGTTTTTGATAATACAAGAACAGTGAAAATATGCTTAGAATTACTTAGATTGATGAAGGCTTATTAGAGATGCAATCGTAATTATCATTTTTCTTTTTCTTGTGTCTTTGATCAGATATGGATACGAGCCATAGGTCGTCCAAACGACGGAGGCCAGACAATGCACAGATAGAAGAAAGACTGGAATCCTTGATCACCAGAGTTGGAGAGAAGGTTCTTATTTGATTTTGAATTTTTTGTCTTTCTTCAAAATACAAGAAATATTGATTTGTTTTCTTGGACAGCACAGTAGACCACAGGAGGGTAGCAACTAGAGAGTATGATAAGTTTGGATACTTATTTATAATGCTTTTTGTGAAGTTCATGAACATCATATGAAGAATTAATATTGTAAAGTTTAAATTAGTTTAAAATCTGATGAGATTTTTAAAAGAAGACCCTCAGGTTGTGTTTATTTAGTTACCGGTATACTTTTTCTCTTCTGGCATTGGTGCCACACGCTTCAAATCTTTCTGTTTAATATTATACTGTTGTCTTGATTTGCTAATTTAAATACTACTAATAGTAATAATCTGGGCAAACTATGTAATTCTCGCTACCCTAAATAGGTACGAAAATCTCGAAATTCGCGAGACGAGGTAATTTTCACTCTCTCGGGTCGTCACTACAACTTCCGGTATAGAGTCCCATCCCGCTGGCGCTAGCTTCTGTGTTCGCTGTGCAGAGTTTTCACGCACGCTAAAATCGATGCCAATCAGTGTAATTTGTACAGATTATAATATATGCATTAAATTTAGTTTGTTTTTATTCAATTTGAATATACAATAAAAAGCAAAAAATAGTTTACAGGAAAGATTTTATTTTTATTCATGTTTTTTTTCTGTTAATCTAAAAGTAAAAAAAAAATAATTGTCTTAAAATTGTGCATGTAGCGACCAGCGTCACAATCACGAGCAGACGATACAGTAAACAGTGTAGAGACAACACTCAGTTCATGTATTTCTCGTCGACCACAAAATGGATAAAAAAACAGTTTCGGAACTTAAAAAAATCTTAACGGACAGAGGAATACCATGCAATGGAAAGCTTCGGGCAGAATTAGTGACTTTAGCACAAAAGGCTGTTAAACTCTACCGTGAAAGAGAGGGTTGTGATCACGAACTTTCCGAGCGAAAGCGACGCTGTGTTGTTGTGGAGGACGGCACAGGAAGCTGTAATGTCGAAAAGCTATCCCATAATGCAATGCGCGTTTTCAGGATTTTCCCCAGATCTCGGCAGAATCGCTATTTGGGGTAGCGAGAATTGTTGTCAGAAGGGGAATCAACCGAAAGAAGTAATTGATAACACAAATTTGTGACTTGTATGAATCAAGAAAAAAAATTCAAGGTAATGTTGGAAATGTGTTGAGTAGTTTCCCAGTTCTTGCATTTTGAGAGGAACTGTTGATATACTCAAATGATATGATTAGAATGGATTTATTTTGGTATTGTTTTGACCATCGAACCTTATATTCTCCATGACATATACTACATTGTATACAATGTTTCATGAGTCGTTCATAATAACAATATCCCGTTCTTGTATAGCGCATGTCACATTATGATATATAATGTCCCTCTGCGCTTCAGAGAGGTTTTGGAAATTATTTACCCCACTTCATATTAAAGCCCATTTGAATGCAAAATCAAATCTTCTATTTAACATTATTACAGAGTACTTCATCTCTTGAGAGTAACTTGGAGGGGCTGTCAGGAGTGCTAGAGGCTGATCTACCGAACTACAAAGGAAAGATTATCAAAATCCTTTGTGATTGGTAAGATTCTGTTAATTTTAGTACATTTCGTACATCTTCTTACACAGGTTTACATGCTCCCTGCTCATTGTAATTGTGAAGGATGACGGTTGCAATATCCATGTACTAAAACTGTTTTTACAGATATTATGTGAATCATTATTTAAATGATGTAATGTTTACATGAGGAAATTATGAGTTCATCCTTGGGTATCTTCCAAATGATGAACCTATGGTTTTTAGACTCAGTAAATTAAAGGTTCACCTATAGGCTTGTATAGTGTCAGTAACATTCATCTACATGTATAGCATGCAATATGCACATAGTCAGATATTTTCTTACCACTACAGTATATTTATTCTTTAGTGAAATAGAAAATGTGCAGGGAGAGCCAACCATGAGTAGTTTTTATTGAGTAACTTCATTTGGCTCAAAGAGTACCGTATTTGCCGGCGTAAAGGCCGCAGTATTTTTGGAAGAGAAAATATCAAAAAGTCGGGGTGCGGCCTTTACGCCGAAACAGTAAAAATCGCAAGTCAAAACAGCACGTCCATTATTTGTAGGCAACTTCATACAAAAAAATATATTAACAAAATTGACTTGAAAACACATCGGACAAGATCTAGTCTGAACCACGTCAGCAGCAAATTTGAAGAAGTTATCTTTTTAATCGTTGTGCAACCAAAGAAATAAGAAGAAAACTGACCCGAAACTCGTACTAAAAATCGTACTTGTAAAAATGTCCTTAGACAGCGCACGGCCCGGTAACCAAAATCAAACCTCGCTCACACACTCTGTGGTGGGGAGCTACGGGGCTGGGAGTTGCCGACAAATCCAACGCATCTTCGGAGATTCACAGCGCGCAATCGTCGGTGTTCTTAACTTTTCAGTAAGATAATTCTGAATTATAATTGAGACTATCTAATTAAGTAAATAAACTAACCTCGGTAGATCAATAACAATACAAAAGCTTGTTTATTTTCTCCATTTGGCGGTACGATAGGGGTAAGACCGGATAACATTATATGGCCACAGCTTGGTTATGGCAGGATTATAATAGTGCCGACTCACTGCATGCAAGCTAAAGATGGCCATTCAGGTTTCTGTATGCATGCGAAGCGCCTTCTAGTGTCCAATTAATGTGCTAATCTGCCTAAAAATCGATGAAGATTTGCTAAATTACGATCATTTTTTAGGTAAACTTCCTTTAAATTTATAAAATGATTGATAATTTTGGTATTAGTTTGTAGGAAAACTAGAGTTGTACGAGAAAATTACGATTATTTTCTTTGGTCCGTTTTTTTTTTTTTTTTTCTCTACGAAATGTCAAAGTTGGGGGTGCGGCCTATGCGGCGGTGCGGCCTTATCGCCGGCAAATACGGTAGCTGTCTTTGTGTTCACTACTTAGTTACGTTTACCTTCTTGTTTTTTTTTTCTAACCAGTGCTGTTGCCCTTCCAGAGAAGATCACTGTCTACACAACACTGGTTGGTCTTCTAAATGCCAAGAACTTCGGCTTTGGTGATGACGTAAGTAATGGGGAAAAAACGCATGCACAAAACTAATAAATATCTATACAGTAGTTAGACAATTTTTGAATTAAATTGCTGAAAGTTTGAAATATCTTTTCATTTTTGTTTTCTGTAGTTCTCATTACCAGACCCTTAACTTCAGACAACTGCTGTGCCCCGTCTTATAAACAGTTGTGATTAATCACAACTTATTTACGATTGATATTAAATCCCAACCATGAAAGATAGGGGACTGTAAACTTGTGATTGATCAGAGGACTCATTTATGAACCAAATAAATTGAACTCTTGGGGACCTGGATTGTGTTACTTTATTTTCTAATCAATCCAAGGAACAATCATGTATGACTCAACAAGGGAGGCAAAATTTTAGAAAGATTACATTTCTTTGTTAACAGCATATTCTGGTGAAAAATGCACCTTTGGTAATGAGAGGGTTCATCAATACCAATAAGACTCCTGTATAATTCCTCGATTTTATCTAACTTCTTTTGCTTTTTTGTTTTGTTCTTCCAAAAACAAACTGTTACAGTTTATTATAGTGCTTAGCAAGAGTATGAGGGAGTTCATGAAGGCTAATGAATGGAGTAAAGCAAGGTTTGTCGTGCGTTTCTTTGCTGATCTTGTCAACTGTCATGTGATCGACGTCGCTTCACTCCTGTCGCTCTACGAGAACTTTGTGGCAGTCTCCGAGGAGCCAGATATTCCCCAAGTGCGCTCTGATTGGTTTATCTACTCTGTCTTAAGCAGCTTACCATGGGTGAGTCGTTGGATTCTAGTCATTAAGGATAGCAAAAAGTAAAGAGGGGGCGTGGGTTATACATGTAGCAAGATGCCCAAGTTACCCCCCCCCCCCCCTCCCCTTGCCACCAAAGTTAAGTCTTGTCATATTCAAACTTTGAAGAGTAATGTAGAACCTGAAAGTTTTAATTATTTGTTTCATCGTTCAATGAGGTACAAAATTATCTCCATGGATACAAACTAGAAACTTCACCATGGAGATACTTTCATAGCAGTTCTTCAAAACACATTGTTGAACTCTTAAATTCTTTGCCCGGATTTTACCTTCCAAGGCAGAGAAAGGGTTCAAATGTATCCTGTAGCCTTTGAGCCTAGTATGAGAGAATTTGTTTGAAAAGTCACAACCTCAAATGCCTTATTGGTTTACTTTTAAAATACACACAAATTCAAACAATGATAGAAGATAGAAGAGCAATCATTATATCTAGGTGACATGCAGCCATTTCATTTAGGTACTCCTCGGCCTATATCTCATGCCACAACAATATATTTTTTCCAGATTATATAAAGTTTGTTGTAATTTTTTGGATTCCAGGTGGGCTGCTCACTGGATGAAAAGAAAGGAGAAGAACTCACCAAGCTGATGAAGTCCATTGAAGATTATCTGGGAAAAAGGAAGAAGGATCATGTTCCTTTCCTAAGGGTTTGGCATGGTGAGAATCCACACGAACAGCAAGATGTAAGTTACTGGCGAAATTTGATTTGATTTGATTTATTCATTTCTGTTTGATCTTCTTTTCCTTTTGCAGTTTTACAACTGTATAACAAACACAATTTAACAAATCATTGCAAAGTTTTGCACATGAAAAAAGAGCGTACTGGTATGTAGAATAAAGTAAGGCTGGCTGTTACTAATCAAAAACATCAAAGAGGAGGGTTGACAAAGTAATGCATTTCTCTTTTTACAAAAGACAATCCTAAGCTAATACCTTCTAGAGCACCATGATTCGTGGACTGCTGTCATTAATGAATATACAGTAATGACATTTTGACTTGAATTGCTCTGTTTCATTAATTAAATAGGCATGAAATGATGTCTGTGTGGAGCTAGAAGGGCATTAACTCTGTGCTAAAGTATAGGAGTCAACACTCTTTTGGTTCTAAATAAACAATATCTTCCATGGATGTAGGTTTCATAGAAGAGGTAACTGTTCTGTTTTTGGAAGAAGTTGCAGATCTTCTTGACCAAACACACTGTTCAACACTCAAAATCTGTGACAGGATATGCTGCGCACTCTGGGCTTGGATTAAGCATTATATCTTGCACTTATTAGAGTAAACACAGGGATGAACATCAACACAAACAACAACAACAACAAATTCTTTGATGAGTTCAAGACAAAAAGCTGCAGTTCATGTGTTTGTTTGAAGCTGCTCTTTGAATTTGCAGTTCTAATCATCTCATTATCTTATTCTTACATGCAGCTTAATATTTCATAGTCTCTGTGTTGGGAGGGGGGAGGGGTAGGTAGGGATGCAGAGAAGCCACAGTTGATGGGGATTTAAAAAAGGAGCTGTGCGTATCAAATATCCTGTATTGAATTTAAATAGTTTGTATTGAAAGCACAGTATATATATTTTTTATGCCTCCGTTACGAAGTAGCCGGAGGCATTATGTTTTCGGGTTGTCCGTCCGTACGTACGTACGTCCCGTTCTTGTGATCGCGTTATCTGAAGAACCGATCGATGGATTCCTGCCAAACTTTGGTCATGTATGTATCTTGCAGAGCCGATGAACTGATTAGATTTTGGGGTCACGAGGTCAAAGGTCACAGGGCTCATTAGGTATGCAAAAACAGCTCGTGATCGCGTTATCTGAAGAACCGATTGAGGAATTCCTGCCAAACTTTGGTCATGTATGTATCTTGCAGAGCCAATGAACTGATTAGATTTTGGGGTCATGAGGTTAAAGGTCAAAGGTCACAGGGCTCATTATGTATGCATAAACAGCTTGTGATCGCGTTATCTCAAGAACCGATTGATGGATTGCTGCCAAACTTAGGTCATGTATGTTACTTGCAGAGCCGATGAACTGATTAGATTTAGTGGTCATGAGGTCAAAGGTCAAAGGCCACAGCACACATTATGTATGCAATAACAGCTTGTGATCGCGTTATCTCAAGAACCGATTGATGGATTCCTGCCAAACTTTGGTCATGTATGTATCTTGCAGAGCCGATGAACTGATTAGATTTTGGGGTCACGAGGTCAAAGGTCACAGGGCTCATTAGGTATGCAAAAACAGCTCGTGATCGCGTTATCTGAAGAACCGATTGAGGAATTCCTGCCAAACTTTGGTCATGTATGTATCTTGCAGAGCCAATGAACTGATTAGATTTTGGGGTCATGAGGTTAAAGGTCAAAGGTCACAGGGCTCATTATGTATGCATAAACAGCTTGTGATCGCGTTATCTCAAGAACCGATTGATGGATTCCTGCCAAAATTAGGTCATGTATGTTACTTGCAGAGCCAATGAACTGAGTAGATTCTTGGTTCATAAGGTCAAAGGTCAAAGATCATGGGCTCATTATGTATGCAAAAATAGCTTGTGAACGCATTCTCATTAGTACTGACGGATGGATTACTATTTAACTCAGGACATCTTGCAGAGCCAATGAACTGAGTAGATTTTAGGGTCATGAGGTCAAAGATCAAAGGGTCATATATATGTATATGAGAAATTGCTTGTAATCACGATATTCTGAGAACCTGTCAATGGATTACAATTGAACTTGAATTCCGAAAAATTTCTTCTGTTTTGGTTTGTAAAATTGCTCTATGACGGAGGCATCATTTTCGACTGCGCGCAGTCGAATTCAATCTAGTTTTAATTTAAATTGTCATGTGAAATCATATTTTTGTTTGTGTTTGTCCAAGTTATACTCTGTCCTCTTGTCTCCTATAATGTATTCATCAAATCCTGTATTGAATAGAAATTGAATTTAAGTAGTTTATATTGAAATTACTGTATAACAGGTATATATTTTTTAAAAATTCAAATTGTCATGTGAATACACATTTTGGTAAAACTCTGTCCTCTTTTCTCCTGTCCCCAGTACTTAGAAAACCTGTGGCAGCAGATTGCCAAACTCCGCAGAGATGAGTGGGTGGAGAAGATCATCATGCGTCCCTACATGGCCTTCCATTCTATCCTCTCCGAGTCATCGGTCCATAGCCTGCCCCCCTTCACACCCCCTCCTCACAACCTAGAGCTCAACTACCCCATCCCGAAGGTGGTGTTCAGGATGTTTGACCCCACGGATGCCCCGGACGTAAGTGCTGAATTTGACCTCTGCTTTGCATGATAATTTGATGTTTCATATTGTATCCAGGGGTGGTATTCTGAAAGCAATGTCATCTGTTATGAGAGTAAAATGATCGATAATTTGCTTATATAGCTCTGAATTGTATATCAAATTAGGAATTCAGAAACAGTGTTTTTCTTTGATGGTGGTATGATACTCTTTTTACCTGCAAAAGCATCAAGGATGTGATGTTGAAGTTATCTATGTGTTATCTTTGCAGGGGGGGGGGGGGTGTTCCCATTTTGTATTTGTATTTATGAATCAATTTGCTGTTTGTTCCAATGAGTAACTGAGTATAGTACATTTAATCTGTAAATGCTTGTTTACACTAGCCAAGGTGAACTGGTAGTTGACTACATAGTGTTTTTTAAAGCATACTTTAAAGTCTACTGCACTTCACAGATTGCTGTGTTATAGTACATAGATAAGTGAGCATGAGTGGGACCATTGTTGCGTGCAGCTATTTTTTCATCCCCACTTAAAGGTAATACAAAGTTTTGGTTTTTGGTCATGAATTTGGTTCAAATGAACATATAGGAAGCATATGTGATTTTACAATATTAAATGATCGTTGTCTCCGTTGAAAGCGAGTCTAAAGTGATAAAATTGTAAATAATATACTCTTTATGTTGTAAAGAATCCTCTAAAGACTGATATTACTTGAGCTTCAAAACAATGCTTCTTGAATACACTTGACCGATTTGCTATTCCCGTTTGCAAATTATATATCAGAATTGCATATTTTGAGATATTCATGATCTCAGCTACCATGGAACAGGCCTTAGGTGCTATTTGAAATATTTGAAATTTAACGGGAGCACCGGTAGATTTTGATTATTCAATTTGCAGAATTGTTTTAGGGGCTAAATTTTCTAGTACTTATAATACATCCACAGGGGCATCCAAATATATCAAAATTTTAAAGAATTACTATCCATCCAATTTTCAAAATTTTCCAAAACTTTGCATTACCTTTAACAATAGTTCATACAAAAAAAGATGGGGGGTAAACCGGGACATATGTCAACAAGCCTTTAGTGTCCCTAGGTTAATGTCATCTGTTTTGTTTTACAGGGACCACCCATGCCTGGCCCACTTTCCATTGAGCGGTACTTGGTAGAGGATCAGATCAGTTCCCTCATCTCCACCTACTTCAGGGACCGCAAGGATTGGTAAGTATATCAAGGCTTTCCACTTATTTGCCCCAATGCACAAGAGAGGTTTATCTTAAAGACGCATGTAGTGGGCTCTTATTGGGAATTCAACAGCATTTGGGGGTTTCCCTAATAACAGGTGTTGTCAATCACCAGGATTAGCCTTCAGTTTTATGACCAATAGGCCTTATGTAATCCTCTGCATTTTCCACCAATAGCCCTGTATGGAAAAGTCTTGAAAATAATCTTACATTTCTCTCACTCGAAGATTCACTGAGAAACTAGGGTGTATTTCTTGATGGGATAATTGGTTTGCTGTGTACATACACCGATTGATGATATTTCCACCAAGTCTGGTGTCAGTGAATTCTGACCTACTGCACATTGAAACTGGCTACCATCTGTCTTTAACACATAGTTTGATGTTTGAACCTCCATGAGCGTAGTATGAGCATGACCTTATGACCAATGAATTGGCAAATATGCTTCTTAGCTCAATTATGCTTATTTTAATCCAAGGTACAGGCTTCAATCATGCCTTGGTTTTGAGTATGCTCAAATTGAAATCTCCTTCATGAATTCCCTCCATACAGGACTTGGTTAAATTTGTTTTTACCCTGTAAGAAAAAGATATTAGACCATGTGTACCTGCCACTGTGGAAATCCTCAACCTCTTTTGTGGGTTTAATTTCACAACCTGAGGACAATCTGATAACGGGTGTAAGTCAGTGGTAGAAATGAATTAATTACGTCATTGTAGCAAAATCATATATGTTGTTTCACTTGTAGACACCAGGAGTTTCCAAAATTTGAATGTTTTTGTTATGACAGTTGCATTTGGCCCACTGTTCTACAATTAAATAGAAAATGCATGAGAGTCATAGCATAGCTGTCATCCTTTCCAACCATTTTGAAATGGACTGCTTCAAAATTTTTGTACCTGTATCATTCATTATAATAAATGTTTTTCTGAGATTTATAAATTCACTCATCAGAGCTTTATTGAATTTGTTTCTCTCGGCAGTGCTGCTCAGTTGCTGAACTACCATGCCAAGAAGCAAATACCTCTGAACTATGTGATAGTGGAGGTGATGTTTGGACAGCTCTTCAACCTCCCTCAGTCTCCGCAGATCCATGTTTTCTACATGGCTCTCTTCCTGGAGTTGTGCAAGCTCCAGCCTGGATCCCTCCCACAAGTTGTATCCTTTCACAATCAGCGTTTTATTCCTCCTCGATTGAATAATAATAATAATAATAGTTCGTTCTTATATAGCGCCTTTCAGGACCCCAGGCCCTCTCATTGCCCTTTACAGATATATTTTTACCCCAGTCATCGGATTCAGGCTTACCCACACGCAATGTATGCACATTCTCCACTCCCTGGGGAGCATTCCAGCCATGCGCCATTTTTACAAGCGCACACTTGCTCATCTAACCACATTATCTTTCGCATCCTATCGGGTACCCATTTAACACCTGGGTGGAGAGTGGCAAATGTAGATCAATGTCTTGCCAAAGGAAATTAGTGCTGCAGCGGGACTTGAACCGCGGACCCTGTGATCCTTAGTACGGTGACATATCCACTCGACCACGACACCTCTACAAATGTATTCAAGAGGCGCTATGTTTTGAGGTTGTATTTCTCCCAGCATTCACTATTGTGATGATTAAAGAATCACAGGACAGATTCTTACCAAACTGGGATCAAGTATGTAGATGAACTACATTAAACGTTGGCTACTGATTTCTCTAATTCCCATAGGCTTAATACAGGTTCCCGTAAGCATTGGGTTAAGTAGGGGTTCAGGGTGTGGTACTTTGAAGGTCACAAGGTCATAGAATCAAGAGAAGTAAAAGAATCTTGGAAAAACAGTGTAATAACTATATTCAAAACTCAACCTTAGACCCCTGGTCCATATTGCATATAACTATCCACTACTTCAAACTTTTGCAAGGTGAATCAAGAACAGCATATTATTTTTCATTTTGAAGAGATGAACTTACTTGGGTTGGGATGCAAAAGGTCATAGTTCAAATGTTTGGGGTCATAGAAGAAAAATTAATCCCAGGAAAAGAAAAACATAGTTGGAAGTGATATGACAATTCTCAAATATCAGCTTAAAGGTAATACAAAGTTTTGGGAAATTTTGAAAAATGGGTGGAAAGTGATTCTTTACAAGTTTGATATATTTGGATGCCCCTGTGGATGTATTAAAAACACTAGAATCTTTAGCCCCTAAAACGCTTCTGCTTTCGAGAAAAATTTAATATAAAGATTTACCGGTGCTCCCGGTAAATTTTGATAAATTTCAAATAGCTCCTACGGCCATACAATGGTAGCTGCGACCATGAAAATCTCAGAATGTGTAGTTGTATATAATTTTCAAACGGGAATAGCCAATCGGTCGATGTTAGTCAAGAAACATTGTTTTATATCTTAATTAATATCTTGACCTTGAGAGGGAGCTATACAACATAAAGTGTTTATTATTTACAATTTCATAACTTTAGAGTCGATTTCGACCGCGACAACGATCACTGAATATTGTAGGATCGCATATGCTTCCAATATGTGAATTTGAACCAAAGTCACGACCCCATACCAAAACTTTGTATTACCTTTAAGACAACCTAGCCAGCTCTCCAGTCTTTCCCAAGAAAGTCATGGACTTCATATACAGTATTTCTCACTCTCATTCTCAATATATCTACTCATTGTAAAGTACGAAAATATAAGGAATAGTTTGGTCCTTAATTCTGCTTTACCAACCTAGCTCGCTCAAGCCTCAGAGATGCTGTATGAAAGACTGGAGCACATGAACCTTCATTCCTCCGACAGATTTGTGAACTGGTTTGCACATCATCTCAGTAACTTCCAGTTCAGGTGGAGCTGGGAAGAATGGTAAGAAGGGATCGGGAACCAGTCTTTGGGAATCATACCTTGGGAATCACACTTGGGAATTGGCTAGCATATGTTACACAAAAGTGTTATGCCCATCTGCCTACATGAAAAAACCAACCTAAGAACCTTTACCTGGCATTCTATGGACTAACGGATAAGTAGTATGGAAAAAATAAAGAATAACTTAAAAATCCAGCACGTGAAACACAAGTTTGGCTTGGGTTCTGCGCAGGTCCTGTTGTATTTGAGCGCATATGGGTATGTTGAGTAGCTCACCCACAAGTTGCTCTTAAGTTTATTGGGAATGTATTTAAACTTGCAATATCTCTTTATAGGATTAATTTTTTTAAGCTCATGTTTTAAGTATAGTAGAGAGACATGGAAGTCCTGCCATAGAAAACAAAATATATTTTGCTGATTGGTACACTAATAATGCTCAGTGCAAATTTTGAAGATCATGGGTAGTTTGGTAATTAATTTGATCAAATTAATCCATTCCCAAACAAAAAATCTTTCCTTTATATCATATGTCTCTCCATCTATACACCATTCTTATATATATGTTTATGTATACAAATAGGAACTAATTTGAAATTTTAATAATTTGTATTCATTACATATTTCCATTAACACCTATTTATCACTTATCTATTCCTGCAACTCTGATTGCTTTTCATTCCTTTCTTTCTATGTTTTTTTTTAATTTTTTTTTAGGACTTACTGTCTAACTGTTGATCTGCCAAAGACCAAGTTTGTGAAATGTTAGCAATTTGTATTCATTACAGATTTCCATTAACACCTATTTATCACTTATCTATTCCTGCATTCTCTGATTGCTTTTCATTCCTTTGTTTGTTTGTTTGTTTGTTCAGGACGGACTGTCTGAACGTTGACGTTGATCTGCCAAAGCCCAAGTTTGTGATTGAGGTGCTAGCTAAATGCCTGAGGTAAGTTGTTGTAGTAGAGATTGAGAGCTCAGTATGTTAGTGAAGGACAAGATTTGACAGAAGAAAGAAATTATAACAATAGATGTATACTGTGATAATAACGACATAAACGTGAATGTTTTATTTAACAATTAAAAAAAAAACATGTAGTCATTGACTTCAATTATTACAATGTGAAAATATCAAATTGAAAAGAAATGCAACTCTCACACAATCTTCTATGAAAAGCATATATCTGTCTGCATGTATCTACAGGATTGCTAATAGCGTTAAGTTCCAGAATTTTCTGTACATTTCCAGTTATCTGTAGGAAGACACCATAATCGGATAATAATGCTGAGGCTAACGGAATAGCATACACATTTCCAGAGGTGGATTTTTTTAATTTTTTTTTTTTTTTTTTTTTTTTTTTGGGGGGGGGGGGGGGGGGGGGGGTTTGCTCGCCTTCTTAGTTCTGTAGAAACGGATCGGTACTTGAGCATTTCACAGGTCATGTGATTCAATGCATTACTGCGTGCATCACTCGCTTCCCAGACATCCAGTAGACCTGCTTCAGTTCACAAAAGTCCGCCTCTGCGCTTCAGTAGAAACAGACTGGTTAAATTTCCATCTGCATTTTTTTTTCGGTTCCATTCTGGGTATACACTACTGTTGTTTCCTGGGGGGTGTTTTACAAAGACTAAGATCAACTTCAAGTTGGACTTAACTATGGCAGGCCGTTCATGCCACTGGTTGCTCTCACTATTGGTCTCTCAATTATGCTCTTTAGATAATATTTTTTCCATCAATAATGAACTATCAAAAAAGCTCAATTCTGTAGATGTGTGACCACGATTTGTACCTCCTTTGAGAGACCATTGCCAGTAAATGGTGAGAGCAAACAGTGGAATGAACGGCCTGCCATAGTTAAGTTCAACTTAAATTTGATCTTAGTCTTTGTGAAACACTCCCCTGGTGGTCTCCTGGAGGAAAAGCACTAATAGATTCTTAACCTAGTGGTGACAACTCCAGAGCTGGTGAGATTTTAAAGAGCAGTATTCATCCCCATGTTTCACACATCTTCTCTTTTGCAGACTGTCGTACCACCAGCGCATCGTTGAGAGCGTTCCTGAGACCTTTGCTCCTCTCGTACCTAACCCTCCTGAGCCCATCTATAAGTATGGTGAGGAAGGAGCAGGTAAGATAATAATAAATCAAAAGCTTTTTGTGTGTGTGTGTGTGTGCATGGTATGTGTCAGATTGTCAATACAAGTGTGAGTAACATTGTGGTGAAATAGTGTGTTTGAATTGGAGCACAATAATTGAATTCACTTAGTAAGTATCCCAGGGTAAATTTAAAAAAATAAAAAAAACCAACAGACTTTGTCCTTACACTGTAAATCAGGGGAATGCCAATTGGAGTTCTTTCTTTAATGGCATATCCAGTATCTTTTTGTCAACGTTCCAATGATTGTTGTCTCAATTTTGCTGGAGCAATAAAAACAAATTCCAGCTAGAAACAGAGAAACAGTATTTAGATTTGATGCATTTCAAACTTGTTCTCTCAAAACAGAGCACCTCTGAATTTGTTTAAACTTTTTTTTTTATCACTCATGCTATCCTTTTATCTCTTTGACTTCCGTAGAATCTCTGCCAGGATACGCCATTGCACAGACCCTGTGTGATTTGATCAAGAAGAAGGGCTCGATAGAGGTGGTGCTAGAGGTTCTTAAGGATGCACCCAATCCGAAGGATGTGGATGGCATGGAAGGTATGGAATTTCTTTCTCTGTCTCTCTCTCTCTTTCTCTGTTTGTCTCTTTCTCTGTCATTTCTCTCTCTCTCTCTCTCTCTCTCTATCTCGCTATCTCTCTCTTTCTCTTTGTCTGCCTCTCTCTCTCTTTCTCTATGTCTCTGTCATTTCTCTCTCTGTCTATCTCACTTTCTCTCCCCCTCTCTTTCTGTCTGTCTGTCTCTCTCTCTCTCTCTTTCTCTATGTCTGTCATTTCTCTCTCTCTGTGTCTGTTCCATGCACTCTCAACTGCTTGATTGTGAAAGTGAGATAGAGAGACAGACAGGTAGTGAGGGAGAATGAGAGAGATCGGCCCCAAATGCATGATCTTAATATTAGAAGATTTCTTTTCTTCTCAAAGTTCAATGGTTGTACGAAGTGGAGTATCAGGGACTGCTTATATCTTTTTGTTCTAGTGCGGGGTAACTCGGAATGATGGGCATTTCTGAGTGGGGGGGGGGGGGACCAGTTGTGATCATTTGTTTCAGGCAAGAAGTGGCGATGTTGTTTTGATTGTAGCAAGGAAAGATATGTTTTATCAAATGATTTTAAAAATACAAGAAAATAAAAGGGAGCTGTGATGGAAGAAAATTACTTCCAATGAAGTACAAAATATGATTTGAAGCATACATTGTAGTAGGAACTATGGAACTGTTTTTGTATAAATTTCATTGATTCCCGGATTGTAAAAAAAAAGTATCTTGATTCTCCAAGAGGCAATATTCACTATTAATAATAAATTATCAGCTGTTAGTACACTAAACAAATATTGTGTATTGACTAAAGAGGAAAATGTAAGATGGCATTTGTTACTATTTTTTTAATGTTTATAGATGAGACAAGCTTTAATGCCTTGAAGATTGATGTGTTCGTTCAGGTCCTCCTTTATCTCGGCAGTAAATCCTTCAGTCATTCCTTCGGTGCACTTGCCAAGTAAGTATACCTCGAGCAATGCATAATAAGCCAGGTATTCATGACTTATACTGGAATCAGAGACGTTCATGTATTTGAAGTGCTTAATTCCAAAAGGAGCTAAATCCACTTTTGATGAAAATTGAGTTGTTAATATCAGAACATTGTTCACTTAAGTACCCGTCTTTCAACAAATTATTTACCTAAATTTCGGGAGCAATTATGAAAAAATGCACCTTCTAATGTCAATTTTCCATAGACGCCTGTACAAATTCTGGTTTAAAAAAAAAAAAAAAAATTCTCTGAGGTTACAACAACTTAAAGGATTTAGGTCCTTTAAACTCTTCATTTGTAGATAAAAATGTAAACTTCATCATATCTAGGGGTGATTCACTATCAGGATTATATACAGCAAACAAGTGTGACAGAAAAAGGAGATAAAAAAAATAAGTATGTACAATATAGATGGTGAATAATGAGTCAAGGAGAACATTCATTTCTTTACAAAAAGAAACTTAATATTGAGGAGAAGTAAGGGGGATAAATTGAGATAAAAAATGAAGACTAAGTGACTATAGATTATTCTTGTGTAATTTGTCGTGTTTTCAAGATGGAAGTTTCTGACATGATTTGATGAATTTAATCGGATGCACTTTTTTGTGACTAGATTTCTACCAGTGTTGAAGAAGCTTGCAGTCAATGAGGAGAGTCAGATTTACATCTCGAGAGTATTTATTTATTTACAAAGAGAAACTTATTGAGGAGAAGTAAGGGGGGATAAGAGTGACTATAGATTACTCATGTGTAATTTGTTGTGTTTTCAAGACGGAAGTTTCTGACATGATTTGATGAATTTAATCGGATGCACTTTCTTTCTGACTAGATTTCTACCTGTTTTGAAGGAGCTTGCAGTCAATGAGGAGAGTCAGATCTACATCTTGAGGGTCATCAAAGACCTTTGGAGGAATCACTCACAGGTTGGTAAAAATCATATCTTTATATTAATCATAGTATCATAGGATAATAACAACGACAAAACTAAAACTAAAAAAACAACAATAAAAAATGATAAGGAATAAGCTCCAATGCTGTTCTTCCTGAGGGCCCTGCAATTATTATTACCCCAGCAATTATTACCCTAGTACCCAATTACACCAGGATGGAGAGGGGCAAATGTGGATATTTACTCATTTCCACATTAAGAGTATTAGTGCAGATTTTTCTGATGTGGGATTGCCATGTTAGAAAACAATTAATCCCTCCAAGACTACTTTACCCTTAAATTTGCCCTGATAGTGAAACTGAATGAGCCGATAAAACTAATTTTTTTTTGAATGGCTTGCTGTTCAATCCGATGCAAAGATACATGTCTGCAACGTTTGATTCCATTTTCTATTAAAACAGAGGATCGCAGTCCTGGTGGACAAGCTGCTACGTGTCCGGGTGATCAGCTGTCCCGCCGTGGCCAACTGGTTGTTCTCGTCCTTCATGTCGTCTAGCTTCACCAGGATGTTTGTGTGGGAGATCCTCCACTCGACCATCAACACCATGAACAAGCATGTCAAGGGGTGCGAGACAGAGCTTGAGGAGGCCAGGCAGAGTGCCAAGAGACCTGATGATGTGGTGAGTTAATGACTAAACAGAAGGTTGCGTCCTGGTTAAGCTTAAAGTTAAAGATAATTTGCGAGCTTTCCCCACTCTCTATTCCTACTTGGAAGTATAGACCTGTTTACAAAAATATGCAAATTTATGGATGTTCCTTTCCCGCAGATCTAGTGATTAGTTATTCCAGTAACCTGTTATTAATGAATGAACCACAATACTTGGAATCTAGTCTGCATAAGTTACTTGTTGCTATGTCAGGAAATCCTGGGAAGCTTTCAGGTTGTCAAGACAAACCGTTGTTTAAAGTATGCAAGAAATTTGAATATGTTAGTAAATTGGCCTATTACATAATAATATTGTTAAACAAAAAGAAAGGGTTGCTCATAAACGGTCCTCATATTCCAAATAAGACTAGTTAATAATCTTGCATTGCACCAAAGTTTGTTGCCGAAAGTAATTGAATTACCGTACACACATATCCATCATCCTGTCATCAATAACATGAACAAATGTGTCAAAGCATGCAAGACGGAGCAAGAAGGGGCAGATCTCCAATAGGCCTAATGACATGATAAACTAATAGTTTTCTTTAGTGGCTCACACTGTTCAATAGCCCAGTGGTCAGATGGCATGTTGATCCGATGGAGTTCATCTGTAACATTAATGGGACACATGACTTATGCAAAGTGCAAGATGAACTCAGAAGATTGAAAAAAATGTTTAACTTAATCTTGGCTTGAATGCAGTATTAATTCAAAAAATACTAAATCTGTAATATTTCACCCAGGGGCGGATCTAGCTTTTTGCTAATGGGAGGGGGGGGGGGGAGTTGACCCAATGACGATGCAGAGCATCGTCCATGAGCCGTGAAGTCCGAGCTGCATAGTGGCAAGGCAATTTTTTTGGGGGTGCTATTTTGAACCCCTGTACGTGATGTTTTCCTGGCATCTATACGCTTTTCTATGCACATCACATTTTCAGTCGGCAGCCCAAGGGGGGTTTAAACCCCCTAACCCCCCCGTAGATCCGCCCCTGTCACCCATGTTTGATATTCTCTGTGTAATATTTCACCCATGTTTGATATATTCCTGTAGGATATGGAAAGCGATGAAGAGGATAGGTATGACATCACAAAGGCTGCTAGTGAGAGCAAGATTGAGCAACTTCAAGAGAAGCTGGAGGGAGCTCAGAGTGAGGAGAAGAAACTCTTCCTCATCATATTTCAGGTATGTACTAGTCATTCTAATGAAAAAATGAATTGAGGTTGTATTAGGTGCTTCATTTTAACAAGCCTTGGCTTTAAGGGGCATCCAAACCATTTGTTTTGTATCCTTATTTTGTATTACATGCTTTGTTCATTTGATTTTAAATGGTTGAATAAAGTGAATTGAACTGAACTGTAGGTTCCTTTTCATATTTCAGTGTAGACAAACAAAATCTGTACAGGTTATTTGTTTTTGTTTTTGTTTTTTATACACCGTGATATAAACATGAAAAAAAGTTAGTAACCACATCTTAAGTTTTCGGTCTATCTGATGACTATATCAAGCTGATAGCACCGCTAGAGCATGGATCAGACAAAACATCAAATAAAATGTGCTTTTATGTCAATTTATGTTCATAATTCTGTCATACAATTTTCAGTACACTGACTTGGTTAAACCTGTGGGACATGCATGTACCTTTGACTAGAACGCCCGAGAACGCTTATTATAATGTTTTTTTTTTTCGTTTTGTTATTTCAGCGCTTTGTGATGGTCTTAGGAGAGCACATGGTATCGTGCGAGAACAAGGGGGAGGAATTCCGCACGCCTTGGTTCATCCATGCCATACAGAGGCTGCAGCAAATATTTCTTGTGGTAAGTTGATCTGACCCCTGTGCCCCATTTAAAAAAAACTTGTCATCAGTGACAAATGATAGTTTTGATTATAAGCTACTGAAATCCTTGCTTCTGATTGGTTATAAGTAGATTTGTCACTGATTTTTGTCATTTGTCATTGAAAAAAGAATTTGTGAAATGGGTCCCTGGTCAAGCCTTGTTTACATATGGTTCGGTGAACCACCTGATGCTTAAGCATAGTCAAATGATAAAGGAGTATTGCACTTCACATTTTTATGCCTCCGCCACCGAAGGTGGTGCCGGAGGCATCATGTTTTCGGGTTGTCCGTCCGTACGTCCGTACGTCCGTCCGTCCGTACGTCCGTACGTCCGTCCGTACGTCCGTCCGTCCGTCCCGTTTGACCGTTATCACAATATCTCAAGAACCATTTAAGATTTAAACTTAAGACTCAGGAATAGTATTAATCACCATAGGAAGACGATCTGATTAGATTTTGGAGTACGTAGGTCAAAGGTCACAGGTCACAGAGGTCAACCTATGAAATTCCTTGTATTGAGTTTGTTAGCGCGATATCTCAAGAACCATTTGAGATTTAAACTTCAAACTTAAGGATAGTATGTATCACCATAGGAAGACGATCTGATTAGATTTTGGAGCACGTATGTCAAAGGTCAAGGGTCACAGAGGTCAACTTATGAAATTCCATACATTGAGATTGTTATCATGATATCTCAAGAACCACTGGAGATTTAAACTTCAAACTTAGTGCTAGTGTGTATCACTATAGAAAAACAATCTGATTACATTTTGGAGCACGTAGGTCAAAGGTCAAGGGTCATAGAGGTCAACTTATGAAATTCCATACATTGAGATTGTTATCATGATATCTCAAGAACCACTGGAGATGTAAAAACTTCAAACTTAAGGATAGTATGTATCACCGTAGGAAGACGATCTGATTAGATTTTGGAGCACGTAGGTCAAAGGTCAAGGGTCACAGAGGTCAACTTATGAAATTCCATACATTGAGATTGTTATCATGATATCTCAAGAACCACTGGAGATTTAAACTTCAAACTTAATGATAGTGTGTATCACCATAGGAAGACAATCTGATTAGATTTTGGAGCACGTAGGTCAAAGGTCAAAGGCCACAGCGCACATTATGAATGCAAAAACAGCTTGTGATCGCGTTATCTCAAGAACCGATTGATGGATTCATGCCAAAATTAGGTCATGTTTGTTACTTGCAGAGCCAATGAACTGAGTAGATTCTTGGTTCATAAGGTCAAAGGTCAAAGGTCATGGGCCCATTATGTATGCAAAAATAGCTTGTGAACGCATTCTCATTAGAACTGACAGATGGATTACTATTTAACTCAGAACATCTTGCAGAGCCAATGAACTGAGTAGATTTTATGGTCATGAGGTCAAAGATCAAAGGGTCATATATGTATATGAGAAATTGCTTGTAATCACAATATTCTGAGAACCTGTCAATGGATTACCATTGAACGTGAATTCAATTTTTTTTTTCTGTTTTGGTTTGTAAAATTGCTCTATAACGGAGGCATCATTTTCGACTGCGCGCAGTCGAATTCCATCTAGTTATATCTTACAGCGCAGAGATGAGCGAGTACACCTTACATGTACTTTGCACGCAGCAAATTTGGATTCACATCCACTTGCCATTTATTAACATGTAACATGTTGTCATCTTTTTCCTCTGGTGATTTTTGAAAGGTGGTTTGACTGCGTTATGTATAATGAAAGCTTCACAGAACCAATTCTGTGTATGATTTAGAAATTACTACTTCATTCAAATAATGCATGGGTAATACAGTATATATTCAGTTTATGTCCAGTTTGGCTTTATAGGTATAAGTTAGATCTCATAATATATTTATGATTTTAACTCTGCATCCATTCCGAAATACAATCCATAATTTGTTTTGATATATCTGTCTTGATTCATGCAGCATTACCATCAGGTCGTGAAGTACACAACGACCCTAGAGAACCTTGTCTTCACAAGTGACACAGATCCCACCATCCTGGAGGTCTTTACAGCTTTCCGCTCCCTGCACTCATGATGACAACCCCGGTGCTCCGACATTTGCTCTGGCAACAACTGCCGTGGGTGCTATTTTGTCAAAAGCATAGGGTTAGGGTTAGGGTTAGGGTTGCCTTCGGGTTTTAAGTTAGATTTAGGGTTAGGGTTAGGGAAAGGCAAAGTGTTGGGTCCAGGGTTGAAGTTAGGAATTCAGTCAGTCTGGGAAATTGTCAAGGAACACCCCTACATCTATGTTTCTGTTTCATAAATTCTACATCAAATGTCATTCTTGATGTAGATTTTTAAAAGAAAATGGGCATTATGAAAAGATGACCTGCCAATTCGAAACCACCTATACCGGTTAGTCTCCAGAACTCAGTCGGCAGTCATTATTTCAACAAATTAGCTGTGACTCAGATTTGAAGTCCCGAGAAAAAGAAAAAAATTGTTGTTAATTGTGACCATTTCTCATAAAAGCTGAGTTTTCAAACAAAATTGTGTGCATGTTGAGGTTACCGGTATTTTCTATCCTCTCAAGCGTATCCACTATATGAAAGAATCTTTATTTTTGTCCTCATACTCTGACCAACATTAGATACTAGTAACCATACATTTCTTGGCACAACTTGTACATATTTTTCTAAGTGGTCCCATTATCTTGTGACGTTTTTATTTTGTCTAATTTATAGAGCAAGAAAATTGCTTACTCTGTTGTAAAAGGGGAGGGGTTGAAAGCGGAGAGCTTATTTTATTTGAAAATATGTGTCAAAATTGAGTAGATGTTTTTAGTACAATTGCATGAAGGGTACTGTGAATGTCTTTTCAGGAAAATGCATATACAGGTATGTGTGCAGAATCCAAAACAATATTTCACAGGAAAAGTTACTGGAGCATTTAATTGATTGATTTTATTCACCAACAATAATAGCAGCATTTGTACGAAATATGTCTTTACACTTTACAATATGTAAAGTGATAATAATATCATAATCCGTTTTTTTATATAGTGCTCAATACACCGATCCAACGATGTGCCTAAGCGCTTTACAGATATATTATTACCCCGGTCATCGGATTCAGGCTTACCCGCACACAATGTGTGCACATTTTCCACTCCCTGGGCAGCATTCCAGCCTGTCGCCATTTTACAGGCGCACACTTGCTCGTCCAACCGAATCAAAAGTTATGATAAAAGTTGGTAAATAGGACCAGAAAATAGCACATGGGGAAAGCTGAGCCTGGCCCCTCAACAAAATTGACAAAACAGAAGATGTTCACTTTGAATCTGCCAAACAAAATGCAATTATAAGTGGATCACTTGATGCCATGCACAGAGCACTATATCTTTGGGTTTTTATTATTAGATGATTTTTAAGTGAATTACTGAAACCTTTTCTGGATGTTTTTAATTTGATATCCGGGATGCACAATTTGAAAGACAATCAGGTCAATAGATCAAGCTTTTAGCAGGTAATCAGGAAAGAGGTAATCCATTAAACTGTAGAAGATATGTACAGATGTCACATGAACTTAAATGTTGTTGGAGGTAAAGTTGTTAACCATGGAATAACGGTGTCCAATAACTAGGTCTTTGTAAATTAGAGACGAATACATTGTGTCGCACAGTGCATTTTTAGAATCATCTCCTCAAAGTTGATTCTAAAGCCAAGAAGAGAGTAGAATCATGCTTCTAACGTTGCATGTTTTGGACCTTGTGACTGTTTGCTCTCGGTATTGATTACTGTAATTGCTAAATGCATCAGTGCTATGTAAAGTTTGATGTATCGAATGGTCTTTAGATTAAAATCTCTGTGAAATCATTACTGTTTGGATCACCCCCTTTAGGCCTTGTTGAGGTATGACAGCAAAACCATGGCGTTAAAAAAATTGTTTATGATGACATGATTTGTAATATGCATTATATGAAAATGTGCAAATTCCCTTTGTATATTCAGGTTCGTTGGAGATGTAAATGGCGCAATTTGAACTTTATCATGATGTTTAGGCAATTACCTGTCTTGTTATTCATTACTTTCATCTATGCTTTCACAATTTCAACCACATTTTGAACCAAACCGACCTAACAATATCTACATTTGTTTGTATTATTGTTGACGTGGAGCATATCCAAGCATGTTGCTGCCACATATACCTTCGAAAAATTTCTTCATCGTTGATCATGTCAGAGAGTTGATGATTGTTGCTTTTTAGATATTTTGATTTTTCACTTTTTTATGTTGATACTGTATAACAATCATTTGTGTTTGTGAAATAATCAATTAAGCAACTATGGGACATGCTTGATTCTAATGTGTTGCATAATGAGTTCTAGAGGACAATAGCTTTCTTTTAAAACTTTTGTTTGTAAAATATTACTTTTTTATTTTTTCATAGTTTGTTAGTTCATTAAAAGTTGTAATAACTCATTTCTGAACTCATTTCTGAACCTGTTTGTTAAATACACCTGTATATGCACTTTTGCAACGAATAAACTAAATTCCTGTACAGTACCTGTGCGCCAGCTTGGTGCATCCCGTTTTGTTTTTCCTTCACGTGTCGTTGCCAAATTTTTTGTGTAGACTTTCGTTTGAAGATATAAAGTTATTATAAAAATGCTGTCATGCAGTGAGAGGTTGGGATATAATCATTCATTACTGAGAAATATGAAACAATTTAAGATCCAGGGTTCTTCAACTGAAAAGGAAGGGGAGGGGGCAAAAGAAGGTGCCCAAAGTCTGTGTCCCCCCAAAAAGGGAGATCATAAATTTCAGATCCTTGAGTTTAAAAAAAAAAGTTATTTACAGAATAAGCAGCGATATATGAATTTATTAAATAAGGAAGAACTATAATTGTATCAGTATTTGAAAGGGGAGTAGAGGAAGAATGGAGGAATTAATTAAGAAGGGAAGAAAAGAGGACTTATGCCCCCATCATTCCTGCTAAAGCATCCTGGATCCGCCACTTTGTATATATTTCATTATCAATTTTATTGATTTTCAACATTTAGAACCTGTGGAGTACGTACGTGTATTCTACTTGAAGCGGTTGTGAACGTGACGAGTGGGAAGGCTTCCTGAAGCTAGGTCAGGGATTAGACTGCCTACAAGCTCAGATTTTAATTTGACACTTTACCAAAATTCATAAAATAAAGCCATGAGCAAAGCCTAGTTTAGCCTATCCGATAGGCGTCGGGCTAAATGGCAAGTGTACTAATCGCGTTATGGAGACTGACATCGGCGCGGGCGATAGCCAGAGCCGAGCCGACAGCTGATACATGTAACACTATTAAAACAGACCTCTACTACTTATACTGTCTAGTACGCACACGACCAGTATTAGTCTGTAAATCAAGACCCCTTTTTAAAAAAAGCCCCAATCTGTGCCGCATAAAAAAATAACGCCGCCCGCGCCGATGTCACTTAGTCTGCAAGCACAAACCCTGGTCAGTCGTAAAAGTGAGTCTGCACTATAAGACTACCATAGGCCATGTACTGTAGCTGCTCCTTCACAGTAGGTAGCATATATTGGCACCAAGATTAACGGCGATATGAATATTCATTATTCCCTACGTCACAGACGTGCGGCGTGCGTACTCTGTCTATGGATCTGTCTTATACACAGGTACATGTACTGTACTAGTACAAGAGTACGTTCGCAAGCATTACTACATACATTGCTCCGGATTGAAGAGAATCATTATAAAGGACGAATTACTCCGTGAAGCCAAGTACAAGCAGGGAATTGAAATAGCAAACGTTCCACGGAGCGGCTATACAATCCCTAATCTAGCTAGTTTTGTAATGACAGTTTATAGGAAAATGGACATTTAGTAGGCCTACTGTTTAGTTGTTCAATAAAATCACTCAGTTTGATTTGATTCGAGATATATCTCATTAATAAAACAGTATAAAGGCTGTATGAGTCTCGGACGAACCATCGCCACTAATCTTGGTGCCAACACCGTTAATCTATGCTCCAAATTTAGTAATACATTTTGTGTGCCCTATAATGACCCGGGGTTGGATTATTTAGGAGAACAGAAGATTGATATTGTTAAGTTGTTTCATAACATCTCTCAGTTTGATTTGATTCGAGATATATTTCATTAATAAAACAGTATAAAGGCTCTATGAGTCTCCAAGAACGATCGCCACTAATCTTGGTGCCAACACCGTTAAACTATGCTCCAAATTTAGTACTACCTTTTGTGTGCCCTATATGCTAAAGACCCATGCAGGGTTGGATTCTTTAGGAGAATGGAAGATTGATATTGTTGTTTCATAACATCATTCAGTTTGATTTGATTCGAGATATATCTCATTAATAAAACAGTATAAAGGCTGTATGAGTCTCACACGAACGATCGCCACTAATCTTGGTGCCAACACCGTTAATCTATGCTCCAAATTTAGTACTACCTTTTTTGTGCCCTATATGCTAAAGACCCATGCAGGGTTGGATTCTTTAGGAGAATGGAAGATTGATATTGTTGTTTCATAACATCATTCAGTTTGATTTGATTCGAGATATATCTCACTAATAAAACAGTATAAAGGCTGTATGAGTCTCGAACGAACCATCGCCACTATTCTTGGTGCCAACACCGTTAAACCATGCTCCAAATTTAGTAATACATTTTGTATGCCCTATAAAGACCCGGGGCTGGATTGTGTGGGAGAACGGATGATTGATATTGTAAAGTTGTTCCATAACATCACTCAGTTTGATTTGATTCGAGATCTTTCTCATTAATAAAACAGTATAAACGCTGTACAAGTCTAAAACGAACCATCGCCACTAAACTTTGTGCCAACACCATTAAACTATGCTCCAAATTTGGTTATACATTTTGTGTCTATAAAGACTGAGGCTTCCCAGGATCATTTAAGAGAATGGAAGATTGATATTGAGAAATTGTTCGATAACATCACTCAGTTTGATTTGATTGCGCATTATGTCTCTTAATAATGGTGTAAAAGTCTCTAAAGAGAAGAAAATAAAGAGAGAAAGAGAGAGAGAGAGAGAGAGAGAGAGAGAGAGAGAGAGAGAGAAGAAAAAGATGTGAAAGGGAAAGAGGAGAGAAAGGAAAAGAAAGAAGAGGAAAAAGAAAAGAAAAAGGGGGAGGGGAAGAAAGAGATCAGGGGGAGGGGGCCGAAATGGGCCTTGCCTCCCATGATGTTGCTTCCACTTCCCCCTCCCAGCAAAACAAAAAGAGAGAAGAAGGAAAGGGAAAGCAAAAAGGAAAAGAGGAGATAACGGAAAGGAAAAAAAAGAGGAAGAAGATAAGAAAAGAAGGGGAATATCAGTTACTATTTTTTCCGCCAACAAGTTGTGGATCCGGGGGGGGGGCAAAAGGCCCTTGCCTCTTCCCCCCCCCCTCCTCCCCCACCGCCAAAAAAGAAGGGGAAAAGGGGGAAGGGAAAGAGGAGAGCTAAAAGGGAACAAAAAAGAGGAGGGGGGGGGGGGGGGGGGGGGGGGGGTAAGAGGACACTTTTTTGGGGGTCTCGAAATTTGAAAATTTGACATTTTGTTCCGTAGGGGGGGGGGGTGTTGAGGTCACCTTTTTTAGGACAGCCATTTGCATAATTTAAAAAAATAATTAAAAAGGGGGGGGGGGTTGCTCCAAGATACACACATAACAAAAAACCGAACAGGGGGAGGTTCAACTCCAAATCCCCCCCCCCCCCCCTCCGTTCGCGCCTGCTCTTCTGATTACAGTTTTCGACTCTTAATCCTCGTTTGTTTTCAGTCCCCCCCCCCCCTCCCGCGCGAAGCGCGGAAGCTTGTACATTTCATTAAATCATTAGAGAAAGAAGACGATTTGTTGTACCGTTTTCGACTCTTAATCCTCGTCTGAATTCAGTTCCCCCCCCCTCCTATCCGCGCGCGCAAAGCGCGGAAGCTTTTACGTTTCATTAAATCTTTAGAGAAAGAAGACGATTTGTTGTACCGTTCCCGACTCTTAATCCACACCTCCTGCGCCAAGCGCGGAAGCTTTGACATTTAATTCAATTATTAGAGAAACAAGACGATTTTGATACCTTGTCCGCCCCGGAAACTCATGGGTTGAAGGCAAATTACGGTCAGATAAGTATTCAGGGGCCCGCCTCAGGGCCCCTGGTGGGGTCGAGGGTGCGGAAACCCCTGAATCTCAGGGGTTTCAGGGATTTGATTACGGTCAGATGAACATAATTTTTATACCTTATTTGTGAAACTGGCAGGACACTGATTTGCGTGAGGTCCAGCGAGCGGAGCCCCAAGAAGCTTAGGGGTTTTAGGCATTACATTGCCGTCAGATTAGCATCCAGTAGGGTCTAGGGGGCAGAGCCCCCGGAAGCTCGGGGGTTTAGGCATTTGATTACGGTCAGATGAACATATTTTTATACTTTATTTGTGACACTGGCAGGACACTGATTGGCGTGAGGTCCAGCGGGCGGAGCCCCCGGAAGCTCAGGGGTTTTAGGCGTCAAATTACGGTCAGATGAGCACTTTTTAAAATGCTTGTCCAAAAAAAAAATTGGGGGGGGGGGGGGAGCTGGAGGCTCCCGATCCCCGCCGTTCAGCGGGCCCTGACATGTAGGCATCTCAAGAAGCATATTTCTTGCCTGGCTGTTAATTTACAAACGCATACAAAAGTATAATTTACTAAAGAATGAGGACAAATCTCGGAAAATTATGTCACTTCAGCATTATTTGTAAACCACCGTTATGGAATTAGAAATAAACCACGTTTAAATTTTATTTCCCCGAGCCCCCTCCTCGATCAATACGCCAGTTCCCCCCCCCCCCCCCCGATCTACTCTTTGTTGGCGGGAAAAATCGCAACTGATCTCCCTTACCTTTCTTATTTCTCTTGTTTTCTTTCCCTTTCTCTCTTCTTTCCCTTTCTCTCTTCTTTACCTTTCTCTCTTCTTTCCCTTTCCATTCCCTTCCTTCTCTTTCTGTAAGATTTGATGGGGGGGGGGCGAGGGGGAGGTAAGGTCATTTCGGCCCCCACCCTTCTCCACATGTTGTTGGCGGGATTAACTGCAAATGATCTATTTCCCCTTTTTTTCAGCTTTTTCCGGTCCTTTTTAGCTCTCCTTTTTTCCTTTTCCTTCTTTCTCTCTTTTTTTTAGCGGGGCAGGGGAGGCAAGGGCATTTTGCCCCATCCCCGCCCCGATCCACAACTTGTTGGCGGAAAAATTGCAACTGATACCCCCTTCTTTCTATTTCCTTCCTTCTCTCTTATTTTTTTGATTGGGGGGGGGGGGAGAGGGGGAGGCGAGGCTCTTTCGCCCCCCCCCGATCACTTCTTCCCCCTTTTCTTTTCTTCTTCCTCTTCTTTCTTTCCCTTTCTCTCCTCTTTCCCTTCTTTTCCTTTTCTCTTTCTCTTTCTTTTTTTGTCCTCCTTTTTTTTTCCCTTTTTTTTCCTTCTTTTTTTCCCTTCTTTTTTTTTTCCTCCTTTTTTTTCCTTCTTTTTTGTTTTCACTTCTTTTTTTTCCTTCTTTTTTCCCCAGGGGAGGGCGCC